ACAAATAACGTATACCAGCTAGCCATATTAAAAGAAAGAAAACTACTTTTAGGATTATATCAATATAAGAAGAAGAGAAATTATAAATAAGAGAAATTATTTCTTTTCAAACAATGGATGAGATATGGGAATACCGACCTGGAAAATGTAAGAAGTACTCCAATTCAATGTGACGTCATCCAATTTTTTCTCTCTTTATAATAGTACTTGAATATTATAACATATTTAATACTCATAATACCTCGAATATTATTACTCTCAATAAGGGGATGGTTATGCTTAGCCGAAAAAAAATTACACATTGGAAATATATTTGGTATATAAAATTTTTGTATTAATTATTAAAACTATACATCACTTTATTTTAAACTTTTGATGATCCAAACATTTTATGTATTTTTTTATAAATCGATATTTTCAGAGAATTTACATATTGGTTCTTTTTTTTTTTTTACCAGAAAAGCATACTTCAATTACCAATAAGAGACTGAAACAAATAGTTCAACAGAAAAATGCAAAAAGGAAAGAAGACCGCAACAAAAAGACAGTCAACAAATTAAATAAGCTGGAGAACTGACAAATTAGCCAATGCATTCTCTTTTAGCCTCAGAAGTATGCTACAGATTCCAAAATCAAACCGTTAGGTCCCAACTCCCTTTGAGGCTATAGGAGTGAGAGAAAGGAAAAGGAACTTCGATCAGTCACCAAATCAAAGATCTCAGCAAGCAAACCATGCAGCAACCAGGGGCAAAACCGAGAAGATTTACGCATTGGGTATATATTTCTAATATTATAACATTTTTATATTTAAATTTCTATATCATTATACATAATTTTATAATACCCAGCCAGTGACTTTTCTTTCATAGTATATACGAAATTGTTTCAATAGACAAGAGAGACTTGGCAAATTTGAATCGGTATAAAGGCTGTAATTGTCAATGACATCTCCATTCTCTTGAACATGTTTTTAAGCATATACTCCTCCGGTCTTTAATATAAGACCCATTTAACTAATTAGATTAGATTAAGGAAATTGGTAAGTTAGTTAATTATAAGAAAAATGACACATTTTTCCTAAAACACTATAATCATCTTTCTTAATACCCCCTCTCCCTCTTCTACTTGATTATGGTTGAGAGAGTATCTATAAGGGTATTTTAGAGAAAATTGATAGATATGAGAAATGGGTATTATATTTAGGACCAAAACCAACTTAAGAATTGGGTCCTATGTTAATGACCGGAGGAGTAAATTATTAAGGATGTTGTAAAATTGTTTTTGTTTGTTTTGGCATTAAGACTGTAGATATACTCCCATTGGCCTGGTCTTATCTGGATCCTTATCCATTTGCCCAACCACTGACTTATTAAATACCCAACAATAATTTTCTTTTTCTTGTTTTAACAGAGACTACCTCATTTCTTTATAACAAGTCAACAACGTAACGATCATTGTAGCTGTCGAATTTGGGATGGCTGTTTCTTAATTTCTTCAAAGCGTTTTTAAAAAAAAAAAATTCGTTCTTTTACAAATATGCAAATATGTTGGGTCAAAAAAGAATTTGTCATAAACCAATCCTGAGCTGTTTCTTTGCGTGCTAAGCAAACTTGCAAGGTCAGTATACGCTGATATTAAGATTTTATATACTACCTCCGGTCCTTAATATAAGACCCCATTTGACTTTTAGTTTGGTCCTAATTATAAGACCCCAATCCATTTTGTCTCTCGTATTTATGCATTGTTTTCCAAGATAGTCCTTCTAATAATGATAGTTCTAACCAACATACTTAATTAGCAAGGATATTTTAGGAATGACAACACTTATTTGTTACAAATAACTAACTTAACTTACTTCCTTAATCTCCTCAAATTAGTCAACTGGGTCTTATAATTAGGACCGGAGGTAGTATAAAATAAAGCGTGTAGAGTAGAATAATATTGATAATGATAATTGTAACTCAGGTTTTGCCAAAATTTCTTCAATATTTTCTTTGATTTCTCTTGTTTTCTTCCTAAAATCATCGACTTGAATAATATTTTTAGTTTTTAAGCCAAAAAAAGGTAATATTAATTAATATGATCCGTATTAACGCCGGTTATTCTTTAAATTCCGTACAAAGTAATATTATTAATTCTTTCATATATCCAGGTGAGTGTGTTAATAAACCGGTAACTTTCATGTGCAAATTTTCCACAGTCATTAATTTTCACCAGTTAGATGTGACATTATGAAATGAGTTGCATTATTTTTTATAAATTATATAGTGTAATTTTTTATAGTTGTTAGATATTAATTTATAATTTGATGTAATAAAAGCATTGGATTAAAATTTCGATTCATTTTTCAAAATTCAAAATCTTAATACCTTTTTCTACTATAAATTCATGACATGATAACCATGTATTTAGACCAATCAATATAACATTATTTTTTTGAAAAAAAAAAGAGTAGAAAGATTGAAATTACGTTGTGGATGATATTTTATTAACAACTGATGGAATATCCTTCATTATAGAACTTGAAACACATACCAAGTCATAAACAAAACGCATACAGGAGAAACACATTAACACCAGAAATTAGGTACATGAACTTTGACGCGTTCGTACGTATGTACGTACATAGTGCTTTAATTTAATGAACTGAAGCACCATCAACTATTAATCATCAACTATATTCTTGAAAATTTGTAATATCTAAATCGTTTGAAAATGAGTCGGGTATAAAATTATGAGATCTAAATATAATTAATGAGACTTAAATAACACGTTGATTGAGATTTGAATAGATTGATTAAAAGAAAAACATTATAAATAAATACAATTTCAAATGGAGGCTCAAATGAAAAAAATTAATAATTAATTTTGAATTTGAATAATATTTTAATTGGATATACCATCATCATCATGGAGATAGCGTCATAGCAGAGCTGTGGGCGCTACTGCTTGGGTTGAAAATGGCTTGGGAGCAAGGCATGTGCAGACTTGTGGTAGAATCCGATGCAACGGAAGTGGTTACGCTAGTCTCGTCTGAGATCGATCAACGTCACAGAGACTACAGTCTCGTTACAGAAATCAAGGGCGTGCTTTCTCACGACTGAGCGTGAGGATAGAGCACGTAGCCAGAACAGCAAATCACGCAGCTGACTTTTTGGCAAAACAAGCCCTGAACGTACCTCATGGTTTCCACTTCATTACGTCGCCCTCGCGAGACTTGCAGGAAGTCATGGCGAAGGATAGGCAATATATGTATTTGGACACTGGATAATTTTGTACCAGCATTGGGTAGTTCGACTTCTATCAAAAAAAAAGAAAAAAGAAGGGAAATTACTTCCCACAAAGAAATATAATTACTAAAATGTCTCATAATACAAATTAAAGTACTAAAATTACTTCCCACAATCTAGTTGGTGGCCAAACAGATCGATCAGTCACCAAACTGAACCACATGTATTTTTGGGTCAGTTATTTCGGTGTTCTATTTTGATTTGGTTTTACTTTTTTTAAATTTTGGTGTTCGATTATTGAAAAAAAAACCAGTTTTAAACCAAAATATGAGTATACATAATAGTATATATGTATACGTAATAAGAATCTAAGCAAGCTAAAAGCTAATAGGCCAAGTATATTTCTAAACCCTAAGATAAGACAACATATCATTTTTCATTTTCTCCTACCACAGCCTCCTCCTCCCACCTGATGGGAGGCCCACCGCACAATTTCAGAAACGCCATTTTTTTCTTGCCAATCTATCTCAAAGAGCATCATCGGCCTCAACTTGCTCTAACGCTCTCTGCTTCACATTCTCTTACTGATATTCTTTCCTGTCACGGTGTTGACCTCCCCTCTCTCTACCCCCACATCAACGCTTTTGTTCTCTTCTCCTATGTGATGTCTATGCTTATTGCTTCATCTAAGCTTTTTCTTCTTTTCCTCACTGTTCAACATCAAACACAAGCACACACACTTGCTAAGTCGCCATTCATCTTTTATCTCTGTCTCGTTTGCCAAGTCACCGTTTATGTTCAACATCAAACAAATACGTTTGAGACTTCATGGTAGGTCTAAACAGGAGAAAAACCAATATGCCTATTAAACTAACCGAAGCCGAACTGATGTCGGTTCTATTCTGTTATTGAGAGAAGATCGGTTCAGTTTGGTGTTTAAAAATATTTCAACTCGGTCATCGATTATTTCGGTTTCTAGATCAGACTGAACCGAATAACCGATTGCACAAGGAGTGTTGAGAGAGTACTTGTAGATACTAGCAAAGCATGTATACTTTTAAACATCAATACATATTCGAAACCGTTGAGATATATTCCATGTAAAAGAAAGTAGAATTGAATAATACTAATAATTATGGCCAAAAGATTAATATTGATAATTGTAATTCATGTTTTGCCTCTTTTTTTTTGGGGCCTTTTATTTGGTTCTTGGGGTTGAATTTGCCCAGAATCCTGGTACCCTTTTGGCAGATAAAAAAATTCTTGTTGCCTGCTTTAGTTGAGCTATATTTTGGGGGTGTTTGGTTTCTCCTAAAGTGCTTTTTACATAAGCCTGAGATAAAACTCCTCTCATGTACCTATTTGTATACTGTAAAATTATTTTTAAAATCATAATTTGGTTTCTACCCAAACTTCCCTTTAGATTTGTGCCTTTTTTGCATATTTGTCTTCTAGTTATTTTCTGTGACTGTTTCTTCTTCTTTGGATAATTCTATACCATATTACTTAGATCCATCGTGAGGTCTCAGAAAGAGACGGACACTTGATTCATATATGAATATGAGTTGTATTGTTTGGTATTGTCTGTATTCTAGTGGGATGACGTGTTTGGTAGATAACTAAATACAAGACATATGAAATACAATGACCCTGCTCGCAATAGCAAACAGCCGCGTAGTGTTTTTTTTTTTTTTCTCCCAAAACAACTGAACCCTTCATTATATATAACTGTAAACATATGCCATTCGTATATATCCAGACAAAAGACACAAAGCAAATCATGAGAAAGAACATAAAAGTAATCGACAACACACCACACAAAGACATAAGCAGCCTAACAGCCGCCAAACATAACCATGAGAAATAACATATAAGTGTGTTTGGCTTCATGTTAAAAAGCACCAAAATCATGATTTTTGTGGTTTCTAACGTAAAACCAAGCACCTTCGTCGTTGTGCTTTAACTGAAAGCACTATATTTATTTATGTTATATATCCATTACATATAAAGCACAGACAGGAACTGCTTGAGATGAGCATGATAAGGAAGCAAGCAGGCATGTTATTATAGCTTTGCCTCAGCACTTGTAGTAACAAAAGCAAGCACGCTTGTGAGCACCATGATAAGGATATTTGCAACTTCCCTGATAGGCTCCCTCTTTTAAGCATTTAGCATGACAGTGAAAATCGTGGCTACAAACCCCATAATATGTTTTGCTTAGTTTCGGACAAACTTTCGCTTCTGCAACATTCTCTGCATAAAACACAAACACACACACTCTCGTAAGAGACCATGCACATCCATTAACCCATATGGAAACAATCCACGCATCACTGCGTGAAGATGTATGTGTAAATAACTCGAATTGCACTAGTAGGATGATGTGCACCAATACGCACACACGCACGCACGCACTTCTCAATACATACGTGTGTCTGTGACTCTCTTGTAAAACAAAATTTCCCATGAAAAGTGATTTGGCGAGTTGGGTGAAAATATATATGCTTTCATACGATCGAAGTGTTCAAAATTAGCATTTAATTAGAGGTGAACAGTATTATTCGGCTGCTAATAACTTAAGCTAACTGATGTGAAGATTCTTAACCTTCTTCAAATGTGAGACAGAAAAAAGGTGGGTGTTTGGTGATGATTGGTATAAACTAACCGTTGGGAGAGAAAAGGACGAGGGCAATGCAGAGGAAGACAGTGAACTTGAAAAGAGAGGCAGCCATGTTTGGTAATAATAAGATTTATCAGTATCAGGTATAGATATACTCAATATAGAGGCTTGCCTTCAAGTTTGAGTTGAAGGGGACGAGGGCGCTACAAATGTATATATATAGAGAACGATGTTCTATAGGGTGACCTTCGACTTTTTATTCCTTTGGTTTCGACACATTTGACTGTTTCTTGTCCTTAATTGCTTTCGTTTACTTTGGCATCTTCTAATAACAAAAATAGCTGAAAGTCGCCCTTATTAATTTTAGTAACTATCTTATATGTAATATACCATATTATATTTGAGTATTGCCGGCTTTTGCTCGGTGTAACTTTGCTAGTATTTTTTTTTATTTACAAGATTTGGACCATCGATTTTATTTAAGAGAAATTGAGCGCTTTTACTTAATCTAACCATTAAAACTATGCTTCTTTGACTGTGTGTTTGTGTCTGTGATTTTGTTTAATATACAAGATAATGTTAAATAGAAGTGTCCTTTTGACTGTGCCAAAGGATAACTCAAGTTAAGATAGTATTTGAATTAGCTTTTTAGAAACAATTTTATAAAGTCCGAGATGAGCACATGAAAAGAATTTCGAATTATGTGAAAATATTTTTTAAATGTCCCCTAACTAGCGGGCGGAGGTTTATGTATTACCACCCTCCAAAAAACAGTTTTTCCCCTTTCACTTTGGGCAAAAATTGTGGATGTATTGAAATGTACTTTTGACTCCGGGCCTTCTTTTTTTTTTTTTGAATCACGACAAAATGATATATCAAAAAGACGAGTTCAAGTATTACAAACAAATAACCTATATTAAAAGAAAGAAAACTATTTTAGGGATTACATCAATATGAGAAGAAGAGAAATTATAAATAAGAGAAAGAATTTCTTACCAAATGACGGATGAGATATGGGAATACCAACGTGCAAAATATAAGAAGTACTCCAATTCAATGTGACGACATCCAATTTTTTTTCTTATAATAGTACTTGAATATTATAACACATTTTAATACCTGTAGTATTTTGAACATGATTGTTTTTAATAAAAGGATACTTATACTTAGCCGAAAAAAATTACACATTGAAAATATGTTTGATATATAAAATTTTGTATTAATTATTAAACAATATATATCGTTTTATTTTAAATTATTGAAAATCCAGACATTTTATGTTTGTTTTTATAAATTGATATTTTCAGTAAGTTTAGGATTGGTTTTTTTTTTTACCCGAAAAACATACTTCAATTACTAATAAGAGACTGAAACAAATAGTTCAACAGAAAATTGCAAAAAGGAAAAAAGACAGCAACAAAAAGGCAGTCAACAAACAAGCAAACCATGCACTAGCCAGGGGCAAAACCGAGAAGATTTACGCACTGGTTATATATCTCTAGTATTATAACGTTTTTATATTTAAATTTCTATATCATTATACATAATTTTATAATACCCAGTGACTTTTCTTTCATACTATACACGAAATTGTTTCAATAAACAAGAGAGACTTGGCAAATTTGAATCGGTATAAAGGCTGTAATTGTCAGTGACATCTCCATTCTAATACATTCTCTTGAACATGTTTTTAAGCATATAAATTATTAAGGATGTTGTAAAAAAGAAATTTGTTTGTTTTGGCATTAAGACTGCGTAGGTATACTCCCATTGGCCTGGTCTCATCTGGATCCTTATCCATTTGCCCAGCCATTGACTTATTAAATACCCAACAATAATTTTCTTTTTCTTGTTTTAACAGAGACTATCTAATTTCTTTATAACAAGTCAACAGCGTAACGATCATTGTAGCTTTCGAATTTGAGATGGTTGCTTCTTAATTTCTTCAAAACGTTTTTTTCTTTAATTTTCGTTCTTTTACAAATATGCAAATATGTTGCGTCAAAAAAAGAATTTGTCATAAACCAATCCTGAGTTGTTTCTTTCCATGCTAAGCATAGTTTCAAGGTCAGTATATGCTGATATTAAGATTTTATATATAAAATAAAGCGTGTAGAGTAGAATAATATTGACAATGATAATTGTAACTCAGGTTTTGCGAAAATTTCTTCAATATTTTCTTCCTAAAATCATCGACTTGAATAATATTTTTGGTTTTTAAGCCAAAAAAAAATTAATTAATATGGTCCACATTAACGCCGGTTGTTCTTTAAATTCCGTACAAAATAATATTATTAATACTTTCATATGTCCGTGTGAGTGTGTTAATAAACCGGTAACTTTTATGTGCAAATTTTCCACAGTCATTAATTTTCACCAGTTAGATGTGACATTATGCAATGAGTTGCATCATTTTTATAACTCATATATAGTGTAATTTTTTTTTTATAGATTTTAGATATTAATTTATAACTTGATGTAATAAAAGCATTTGAGAGGTATTATACTTTCGATTCATTTTTCAACATTCAAAATCTTAATATATTCACGACATGATAACCATATATTTAGACCAATCAATATAACATTACTTTAAAAAAAAAAAGAGTATAAAAACCGAAATTACATCGTGGATGATATTTTTTTATTTGAGTAAAGGTTTTTCCTTTTGAACCTTAGAACACAAAAGGTTTTTGCCTCTCCCAACAAGAGTGTACTTCCCAAAATTTGAATTTGTATCATTTTCCTTCCAAGGATAAGGTTGCTTTATGGAAGTAAGATCGCTTATCACCTCAACTAACAGCTTGTTGGTATCATGGATGATATTTTATTAACCAATGGAATATCCTTCATTATAGAACTTGAAACAAATGCCAAGTCATACTACGAGACAATAAACAAAACGCACACAGGAGAAATACATTCACACCAGACATTAGTACATGAACTTTGACGCGTTCGTACCCACGTACATAGTGCTTTACTGAATCGAAGCACCGTTTATTCATACTAAAATGTCTCATAATACTAACCAGCAAATGACAAGTTTTAGCATAGAAAATGACAATAAGTTCCAAACTGCCCACTTGCTATTAGAGCTTTTTAAGTAATCATATTTCAGAACTGATAGTGATTGCTTGAGATGATGGAGGAGGATATACATAAGGAAGCCACGGGCGAAATATAGCTTTTTTCTTAATAACAGTTGTCGTAGCAAAAGCAAGCACGTCCCAAACCACGAACACGACAACTTCCTGAAACAGCACCTTCGCTCAAGCATTTAGCACCACACGTAAAATCGCTATTACAAAACCCATGACCAAATGTTCTGCTCAGTCTCCCACAAAGTCTTGCTTCTGCAATAATATTCTCTGCATATATAACAGTCCATCCATATATCCATTAGCACCATGCACATATATTTAATTTGATATCATATCACGTATATAAAGGTGTTCATATTATAGCTTGCAAATATAGATTTATATATATAGTAGTAATATGTAGAGGTTGGCAATATTATTTGCCTAATAATGATCAAAACGTGCACGTACAATGATGATCCTTTAAACATTGTTAACTTTCTTTAACTGTCAAAAAAATATTAAAAATATCAAATTAAAAGAGGACATGCTAAAATTTTGAAAAGAAGAAATGGCAAAAGCTCAAGTAGATGATTGGTGATGGGTAAAACTAACCAGTGGGAGAAGAAACCAAGAGGGAAATGCAGAGGAAGGCAATGAAGGAAGACAACTTGAGAAGAGAAGCAGACATTTGTCTCGTATAATTAAGATTAGTGTCAGACAAAGGAGGCTTGTTTCGAGGTTCTGAGTTAACTTTGAAGGCAATGAAGGACTATGCTTCTATATATACAACAATATTCATGGAAATCTCCGCCTTTTTCATAATATGTGGTCCGTTTCTTTTTTCATTGTTTAAGGGTGCAAGCGTCACGCTCTCGCTCTATTGAATGTGTCCATATTGTCTTTGAAGATATTTTCGAGAGATGGTGTTGTATTGCTCGGCAGCACCTTTGTAAGTGTCCATACATATTCTCCATATCTTCGTATTGTAATTGATCATAGTGAGGCTCTCTGAATATTTTAATATTGCTTCTTTTGTCTTTCTTTCTACTTATTATGCACATGTTGCAATCTTACATTACTTAAGCGGCTGTGCGAATACTATGTTTTGTGGATGCTTTATTTATTTATTCTTAAAGTTGGCACTATATATATAATCTGATTCTTATATGGTCTAGTTTGATTTCCTTCAATTCCCTGCTGTGATCAAATGATAATTGAGTTATGGCTTTCTAGTGGAGAAAAGATCAAAGGATTTGTCTTACAATCAAAGCTTAACAGTGCATGAAGGTGCTATTTTGAGAGAAGTTTCTCATTTAAGAAGCTGAAAAAAAAAAGAAGCTTAAAAAAAAAAAAAAAGAAAGAGAGAAAGAAATCGTTACTGTCTACCACACAATAGCAAAGCAGACGCGTAGTGTTTTTTTTTTTTTTAACACACCGAATCCTTCATTATACTACTATAACAGTAGACATATACCACGCATATCCATACAAAAGAAACAAAGCAAACCATGAGACAGAACATAAAAGTCATCGAAACACACCGCACAAACACATAAGCAGCCTAACGGCCAAACATAAGCTTGGATACATGGGTGTGTTCGGTTTCTTTTTTAAAAACCATCAAGATCACGATTTTTGTGATTTTAACGTAAAACCAAACATGTTTGTAGTGCTTTAACTGAAAGCACTATTTATGTTATATATTCATAAATAGCACAAGCAGGAACTGCTTGAGAAGATCATGATGATGAGGAAGCAAGACGTACGTAATGGCTTACCTCAACACTTGTAGTAGCAAAAGCAAGCACTTTTATGATAATGAAATCGGCAACTTCCCTGAACAGCTCCCTCTCTTAAGCATTTAACATCACAGGCACAATCCTAGCTACAAGCCCCATAATATGTCTTGCTAAGTTTTGCACAGAGTTTTGCTTCAGCCACATTCTTTGCAACATAACACAGACCATGCACTTCCATTAACCTATAACGGACACAATCTTTGAAGATACATAAATGAGTACATTGAACCAGTAGGATGTACAGCAATATATATAACAGTCTTTATGGAATATTCTCAATATATACCTGTGTCTG